CACTTCAAACAGCGCTCTGTCTGTAGCTTTCTGTAGTTTATAGGAGAGCCAGGCGTTCTGTCCAGAGTCCACATCAACAGCCACCACCTTAGTCACCAGGTAGCCCACATCTGCTGAACGAGGCACCATTTCAGCCACTACAGAGCCACCAGTCTGGACTGGGTAAAGGACCTGAGGGGGGTTATCGTTCTGGTCCTGGATCTGGATCTTTACAGTTACGTTGCTACTGAGTGGAGGAGAGCCTCCATCTTGAGCTTTGATGTGAAAATGAAAATCTTTGATCTGCTCATAGTCAAAAGAGCGAACTGCATGGACGACTCCACTGTCAGCACTAACTGACACATATGAGGAGACTGGAACTCCGTTTACAGAGGAGTCCTCCAATATGTAAGAAACGCGGCAGTTTTGGTTCCAGTCAGCGTCTGTTGCTTTTATTGTGAATATAGAGAGTCCTGGTGTGTTATTTTCTACAATGTAGGCCTCATATGAGCTCCTCTCAAATACAGGGGCGTTATCATTGACATCGGAGATCTTTAGCGAGAGGGTGACGCTGCTGGAAAGGGAAGGTACTCCTTCATCAGAACAGGTTACTGTGATATTATAATCGGACATGGCTTCTCTGTCTAATGTGCTGTCTGTCACTAACTTTAAGAAATGTTTAGAAGTTGGCAAGATTTTAAAGTAATCATGATAATCATGACTGCAGTGAACATTTCCATTTTCATTAGAATCAGGATCCTGAACATTTATCATTGACAAAACGGTGCCAGGTTCAGCATCTTCAGATACGGTGGAGGATGCTGACATGATATTGATCGTCGGTGGGTTATCGTTTATATCTAGAACAGTTATTATCAATTTACATACATCTTTGTTTCCACCTACGTCGGATGCAAGAATATCTATCTCATAGTTATTATATTTTTCATAATCAAGCTGCCCCAACAATATGAAATCTCCACTGTCTTTGTCTATTTCAAATAGATCAACTGCTCCTTTTGGCATATTGGATATTGAATATTGTATAAATCCATGTGGTCCTTCGTCTGCATCAGACGCACTGATCCTTGCTATAACGGTCCCTTTTGTCGCAATTTCTTTAACGTTTGACTTGTACTCTCTTTGAGAACAAATGGGTGCATTATCATTAGCATCAAGTACAGCCACGACGATCTGAATTGTTCCGGAAAGCTGCGGATTACCACCATCCATTGCAGTCAACACTAAAGATAATCGATCCCTTTTTTCTCGATCAAGGGGTTTATTTAAAATCATTTCCACATTTGCACGGCTCCCTATTGTGTAAGGATTTAAAACAAAGTTCTCATTCATACTCAGTGAATAGCTCTGGAGAGAATTTAAACCTACATCATCATCAACAGCTTTCTCTAAAACATATTTCGAACCTACTTGAGCTGTTTCGCTGATTTCAAATTTCAATTCAGTCTTTTTAAAACACGGAGCGTTATCGTTGATATCGGTAATTTCCACATTAATGCTGTAAAACTGCATGGGATTCTCTAAAATTATTTGAAAATCAAATGCGCAGGGCGTCGTCTGCCCACAGAGAGCCTCTCTGTCTATCCGCTCTTTGATAACAATGTCTCCTCTTCCTCTATTCAGCTCAACGTAATCCGTGCCATATATACGAGCTTTTCCTGCGTTCAGCCTTTGCGGGTCTAAATCAAAATCCGATGCTACGTTACCGATCAAAGACCCGACTGCAATTTCTTCACGGATGGAGTAAGTGACCTGGCCAATAACCACGCAAACAGAAAGAGCAACAACGTAATTCAGCAAATATACTCGCCATGCCATTGTTCTTTGGGTCATTTTCTCATCCAACCAAGAAAGAGATGCGAAATCCTTGAGCGCAAAGATGGAAAAAAAATAAAGAAAAATATCCAAAAGGGAAACAATAACAGTATTTCTCTCAGTAACATAATTTGTGGTCAGATCTCTGCTCTTCCCATAGCCTAGTTCTGCTTTTTTTCCCCCCCTTTATGCGTAACAGCAATAGAGGATGATCGACTGTGCTGTGCTGTTCATCAGACTGGCCAACAGCGTCCCTTTGAGTTACAAAAGGTTTACTGCACAAGAAAACAAAATCGTGTGATATTTACTGAAACTACTATGAACAAAAGGATTTTGGTTGCGATAAGAATAAAAAATAAGGAAATATGAACTGGAATTACGCACATCAGTGTTTTTTAAACCAGACAAATACTGTACATACCAAACGTAATTCATTGGAGGAACCGCCAATTGGTTAAAACACTAAATAACCAGAGGAATTTTATTCAGCAGAGAAAACGGGTAACAATCAAAAAACGGGTAACAATCAAAATGCGTGCAGCAAAGCTGTGCGAAGCTCTCGGAAGCTGTCGTTTATTTTTCTGATCATGTAATCACACAAACTTAGACACGTAAACATTTGAAACCAAGTTTACCATTTGAAGAAAGATCTGGCAAAAACGTTGGCAAAAATAATTCAGAAAATGTAACCTATCAAGGGACCTTCTCCGGAACAGGAGAAAAATATAACATATATTACAGGCAGGGGCGCTGCCAGGAATTTTGGGGCCCCATGAAAGACATTGATATTTGCCTATAAAGATGCATTAAAGAGTATAATTTACATTTTTAATGCAATTTTTATTGTAAAATTTCTATAAGGAAAAATTATCATAACGTGAAAAAGTTAAATATATATTTACATCCTATCAAAACAATAACAGCTCATTTAAAACAAAAAGCCCAGCTGTATGAAGAGAAAATAAGTTTTGGATTGTAAAAATATATTTCTATTATGTTTCACTATAACTTCATTAAAGGACAGATTATTTTTATGCTGGCCCTGAAAACTAATTTTTCATTCATGTATATGTGTAATGACAAAACATGTATTTTTGTACTTTTGGCTGCTTCATGCTGTTCATGAGAATGATCAAGATTTGAAGATGTCTTTTAATGGTATAAAATGGTTTTATTTAATCTAATATAAAATAAAATAATATGGTGTAGTATAATATGTTAATAATAATAATAATAATAATAATAATAATAATAATAATAATAATAATAATAATAATAATAATAATAATAATAATAATAATAATAATAGAACTGGGATTATCAGTAGAGCAGTGGGTAGCACTTCTGCCTTGCAACAAAAAGGTTCCAGTTTAGATTCATGACCCAGGGTCTTTCTGCATGGAGTTTGCATGTTCTCCCTGAGCATGCGTGGGTTCTCTCCGGGTACTCCGGCTTCCTCCCACAGTCCAAACCATGACTGTTGGGTTAATTTGCTTCTCTAAATTCTCCTTAGGTGTGTATGAATGGCTGTCTGTCCTGTTTGTTTCTGTGTTTCCCTGCAATCGACTAGCAACCTGTCCAGGGTGTACCCCACCCCCCTCACCCATAGACTGCTGGGGACAGACACCAGCACTCCGTGCGACCCCGCTTAGGATGAAAGGAAAATCAATGGATGGATGGATAATAGAACTTTACCGATCTAAGAAATTTACCTCTGTATATAACTCATCCCACTGAGGAGCAATGGGGTGCCATCGTAGGGCGCGAGGGAAGCAGTGTGGAGTCAAGGGTAAACATAAAGGGGTGGAATTTAAATAAAAGTTTAATCAAGATTAAAATCAAATGTGTTTACCAAATACATATTTCCAGGGTCACCAACAGGGACAGTGGAGTTGACCAAACTGAAACAACAAGCAAAGATGGCCAAACAGAAGATTGATCACTTTGAGGACTGCATTAAATACTGTATTTTCATTGTTTGGCCGGGTGTGCAACTTATACTTTGGAGCTAATTATGTTTGAAATTATCAACACATTATTATCTTATTTCAGATCTTATTTTCACACTAAACCGCAAGATGGCGCTCAAGGCCTGTGTTGATTGAAAAATTGCACCGAAATGAAAATCATATTCTGCAGATTACAAGCTTCAAGTAGAAAAATATGCAGCCGAAAAACGGCTGAAAAATGTTTGGAGTTAGCGGAGTTGTTTAAAAGTTATACCGATGATGAAGATTTCTTGTATTTAGTACTTTGGAGTGACTCGGATGGTTTCATAAACTTGTTACCATGTTGTTTATGCTAAAGTAATCTGATAATTCTTAATATGTTATGTTAATATACCAGCCACTTTTTCAGTTCGTTATTTATTTGTCATGTATTCTTAGCATACTGTATAATTATTCAGCCTGCTGTTGCCTCTATTCTATTGCAATTTTAAATTGCCTCTCAAGATGAAATGTCTGTTCTTTATGTTGGATTTTATCCAATAAATGTCCCCTCAAAAATGCGACTTATGCTCCAGTGCGACTTGTATATGTCTTACTTTTATGTAATTTTAATAGTAGTATTTCAGATTTGAGATCATGTCAACCCCTTAAAGTAACCTGGCTCTCGCCAGATGGATGTAGTTCTTCCGAGCTTCACACGGCTCCACACATCCACCTGAACTTGCTGCTATTGTGAGGGATTTCCATTAACCATACAATGGACTGACCAATAATAATTGCTGTGTGGGATTTTCGTAGATTTCACATACTGTATATCGGAGGGGCCACCTTTTGGATTCAGGCAAAGGCGCCTCGCAGTTTACTGTATTTTCTGGACTATCGGGAGCACTTAAAATTCTTAAATTTTCTCCAAAATTCATGGTACATCTTATAATCTAGTGCACTTTATACTTATGATACTTCTTGTGCTTGCTTGCCAATTTCGTCTGGTGCAAGGCGCTCAAAAATCTGTCTAAATGTGTAAGCAAGGCTTCGGATACGTTCAATGGCTATTCGTAGCATTACGGTAAATCGTGTCACATCCATCATGCGAGAGTGAGGTAACCCTTTAAGTGGTTTTCAGATAGAATGGATAGTGTTATCGCTGCACAGCTATTTGCTCTCAAGTAGTTAATCAGTGCTTTTCAGTGGCTTAAGAAAACCATAATTGTAGGGTCTACAATCTGTGTAATGTTTTTCATTTAAAAAATATTTTAATAATCAAAAAAGTTTCAAGCAATGAGGCCATTCACACACTTTATTACCCCCCCTTCCTTTTGGGCTCGTTCGCCAACAGATTGCTGCTGTGACGCTGAAACGAATTAAACTCCCTTGCAGGGACACATACCACCAGTATTCCAGAATGTGTTGGTATTCCAATCCCTGTTCAGATCTTACAGGAGCAGACTGCGCAGCAAACAGGAAATCCCGCACGCACTTGCTAATGCATCGCTGATTGAGAACTGTGATTGGGATCAATATGAATGTAGCGGAAACGTTAAATAAAGGGAAGAAGAGTGGATCTATTTTCTCTGGCGCCGGAGCGCAGCCCGCATTAAAATCAACCGACAGAACTCCACCTGCAGCTGTTCTTTCATTATTAGACAGACTAATTGAATCAGAGGGCTGTACCACAAAGCATGATTACTGGGTTAGAGAGACAAGTTCAGCCTCAACCCTGATTTCCCGGTACCACAAAGCTGGATTCACTAGCTATGCTAGTCACCATGGTAACTACCCTAACCCAGCAGCCAATCAGCTGTTCGGGAAAAATGACGTGCTCTTTTATTGATAAACCCTACTTCGACAAAACACCATAATAAATGAAATGAAAACTAAAAAGCAGGACAAACAAAATATGTTATTGACAAAATGAACAGTATTCAAGTCATGGATTTATTATTGTTTTCCTCCTTTTTTAGATCATGACATATTACCCTTTTACTATTCTTACCTACTATTTAACGTATAAAAGAATGATTTATACCATGACAGGAGGTTCATTATCTGGTTTTTGTATAATTTCAGATACACAGAATTATTAACTTACAGCTACCAGTAACTGAAAACTAAACCATACAGAATGAGCAAGGCACTTGGTGATTTCTCATTCCAAACTACCCCCCCCCCACACACACACACACACACATACAAATTATTTACATATTATACTATTAGTGATGAGAAATTAATAAAAAAAAAAGAACATATAAAAAGAAAATAAGAGTTCTGATTCAAAAAAGTATGGGATTCATCAATTTTCTATTTATTGCATATTGCTCTATATCATTCCATTATTTGGAGTGGGATGTTTTGGTTTATTTGTGGTTACTAGTTGTAAATAATATATTGTCCGATTGATCTTTTATCTATACAATTAGACAGAACAGTTAAATTACATAAATATTTATACCACCTTGAATAATATATTTTTTACAAGAGGTAACCACAGAAGCCAAAAACCTTAACAAAAAAGATGGAAACAGTAAAAGGCTAAAAAGCAAACATTTAATCATTTTTATGTATAACCAACCTCAAGAGGAGAGTCGGGTTCATCGAGGATACTCTTCTCACTTTGCATCCGATGCATCGTCCCTGATGAACTGGGGTCCATTATCAACACGTTTTGACTGCCATCTCTTCCAAACTTAACGTCATTTTTTCTAGAGTCAGTGGTCCTGCACACCTCATAATTGTAAACGTGTGGTAGAGTCCCTGTTCCCAAAGTGTCTGAGTAACGTGGTGGATAATAAGGAATCACAGGGAGGCTGGAGTGGTATAGGATGCGGGACTGTCTCCATCTGTAGATCTTCACCGATATAATAACCACCAAACATGTAATGAATAGGAAGGAGACCACAGCCAGTGCTAACACTAAGTAAAATGTCAGGTTGTCATTGTACTCCTTATCGTGTGGAAAGTCCGTGAACTCCGAGAGCACTTCTGGAAAGCTATCAGCCAGTGCAACATTAACAATAACTGTTGCTGAACGACAGGGCTGCCCGTTGTCCTCCACTATAACAGTCAGTCTCTGTTTCACAGCATCTTTATCAGTCACCTGACGGATTGTTCTTATTTCTCCATTTTGTAAGCCCACTTCAAACAGCGCTCTGTCTGTAGCTTTCTGCAGTTTATATGAGAGCCA